AGATGTACCCTCCAAGGTGGCCTTCCTCCTAGAGAGAAAAATGAGAAACATTTTCTCTCTAATTATCTCCAAAAAGAAGCCTTAATGAATTTTAGCTATAAAGTCATTTATATAGTCACTTCTTTAAGTGACCTAAATAACCAATACCCTAATTCATCACTTCATGGCCGGCCATATTGGGATTTTTGGGCTTTTGGGCCTTTGTAAATCTTTATTCATTAAATTGTCATACAACTTAAGTTAATGGACTTGACGTTCGAAGCCCATTGGGCCTTAAGGTCCAAAACTATCCCGAGGTCTTTAACGAACTTATTCGTTTGATTAATTAACATATTAATTAATCCTTGTCATAAATAATTAAACCATTTAATTATTCTTACTCATCTCCATTGTTTCTTCAATCTTCACCTTTTATGGTGTGCGATCCATTAGGTTCCTTTTAGCGAGGTAGTGGGCGATTAAAACCATTTTACATCGATTGTGAATTTAAACTATTTTCAATTCTCCCTTTAGTGATTACACACGTTTAGGGCTTCCACAAACCATGAGTGACACCTAGCAGCATATCATGGTTACCCAAGCTAATTAGAATAGGTAGAGAACCTATTCAGTTTGAGATTACAAATGCAATACGGTCTTTCTCTAATCTAATACTCTTGACCACATTGTTTGGTTTGATAGTTTATTTGCTCATGTCTACTATCCAATGTGTGTCTTGTGCTTATATGATTACCTTGAATGTGATTCGGAACGCATTCCCAAATCTCATTCATACTCTGGCCAGAGATTCAAATCATATCATAGAGTATTCTCCCTCAAGCGGTTTGAAGGTTAGAGATCCCTTGTTGCGCATTCACTTGTCTCCATAGCTAAGTGGCTTGACCCCAACGATGCCGTGGACACCCTCCTGATGGAGTGACTTTGACATAATCAAAGATCAAGGACTTAACCACAAGACAACTATGATGCCTCAGGTCAAAGGACTAATTTGCATTATCCCAAACATGAGTTCTCATGTGACATGGAATATGAGAACTCTTCTTTGATCGCGTTCAGTGAACTCATTCTCTATTGAGCACCTACCGTACTTGTCTTGATGTCACACACACCAATGACTCGAGACTAATCCCTCTCCCTGAGAGAAGACATAGTACGTACCGATCTTGACGGACTGTCAATGCCCAATTGACAATCCTATGATCAGGAACGTTTAGGATGTGTGTACGAAAGAATGGTCTCATGACTCTAACTTCATTAGATTGCATTCTCCCAATCACATATTCCTTGGACTTTATTGTTTAAACATATAACATTTATATGAGACGGCTCAAACAATAATATTTGCCCTTTATATGTAAAACTAGATTAGTTTAACATGTGAAATGTCCGTAAAGTATCATCACATGATTGGCTTTAGGGCACATTTCCAACAGATTTCTACGGGCATGCTTGATGGGGTTCCTGTAAAATATGTTTCCTTGGCACGTGAGGTAAGCTCCTGAGCTTCTTGTCCATTTTTGTTCAGTTAAGAGAAAGAGAGCCGGCAAAAGAAATAGAAGAGAAGAGGAAGAGAGAGCCGACTCAGCCCGGAAAGCCCCAAATCGAGCTCTAATTCATCTGGGTTGCTGGGTAACGAAGCATTTGGGTTGTTGGGTTTGTGGTGGAGGAGGAGGCTACAGGAGAGAGTGAGGTAACGAAGGTACAGGAGAGGGAAGCTGCGGGAGAGAGAGGGAGGGTAGACAATGGAATTTTTGTGTTCCACATACGTGGAACAACCCGTTCCGGGAGGAGGAGGCAGGACGCAAAAACACCCAATTTTTGTCCCGTGGAACAGCGCGTTCCACCCATTTTTGGCGTACCAAACGCGGGACGGAACGCCTTGTCCTGTTCCGTCCCGTCCCGTCCCGCGTACCAAACGCACCCTTAAGTCTTCAAGCAAATGTAGAAGCAGTTGATGAAGTCTTCTTGTCAGGAACAAGTCATGCATACGTGAGTCTCATAAGTAAGGATGCACTTAGGAGTATAGTCTCACCAAAACCTGGCTCTGGTAAACTCAATGGGACAAACTCTTAGTCTAAGGAGAAAAAAAAAGTGAGTTAATACAATGTCGATGCTTGAGATGATCAAGTGATGGTAAACGCACATGTCAAGGGTATGACTAGCCAGATGTGGGTGACTTGTTAAACCCCGTCAGGTTAGCAAAACCCCAACGGGAAATAGTGTTCTTAATTCAAGGGAAAATAGTACATTAAGGCCAAGTGAATATATTATTGAATACTCTCCTTGAGATCGACAAAACTCCCTATAAGGACAATCATGCAAATTGTACTCAGATTTGGAACTTTGTATTCTACAACCTCTTCAAAGGTCTCACTTTGCACCTAGTGTATGGATGATCATGAGTAGTTAGACTGGCAACTAGAACACCATCAAAATAACGCTCGAACCTCAAGCCAAGAAATGGATGAGTTTTCCTAGATCCTTCATCTCAAATTATGACATCGGTTGTGAGTTAGTTTTCTCATGCTCTTTTAGAGTCTTAATGAGATTCATGTCAACGACATAGGTTATAACTCTAACAAGTCCAGAATGACTACTTTAGAGAACACGCAAAGGGCACATATCCTTGATTTATCAAATGCTCACTTATAAAGTGGATGCCTAGATCAAATTGAGAGGATGTCCGTAGTTTAGAACTATTTGAACCAGTCTAAGTTCCTCGCGAACTTCTATTTCTGTATCATAATCCCATGGTGATACGCTATAACCAAATTCATAATGTTGCGATCAATCACAGGGCGAATAATAGAAGTCTTGCGCCAAAAACGTGTCTAAGCACATTTCATTCATCTCATCCCTTTTCCTTACGCATACCCATTTGGTGGTGTTGACACTACATGTCCAAATACTCTTTGCTAAGGAATCCTGGATTGTTTTTTTCCATTTGGCCAATCTGTTTTACGTTGTCATTTTCCAATAGAACATGGTTAGGTACCATTGTTTTTCATTAATGTCGATAGCTACCATATAAGTGAAACATCATCAATAATAATCCTATTCCAATTCAACATATCACCCAAACTAGTATAGTGGACCAAGAACTTCTTGCCTTGAAAATAGGACCGGTTTGGGTCGGGATCTCGAACCGAAACCCAAAGCCCGAATTCTAAACCAATCCCTTTTGGGACAAAATTTCAAAACCCGAAACCGATCCAAAATTTTGGTATTCCCGAAAGTCTTTCGAGATTCCGATATGGTTCGGGAAATAGATCAACTACGAAGCAAGGGTGTTCCCCTCCTTCATAGAGAAAGTTTCATACATATTGCTTCCTTCCCCTTCCGTTAAGATTAATTGACATGCATACTCAGAAATTTAAAGGCATGTTTGGTATCCAATTTGAAAAATTTTATCATTTCTCAAAACATTTCTTAAAAATATTTCTTGAAAACATTTTTCTTTAAGACTCAAAAACTTGATTGGTTTGCGATTTAAAATTTTTAAATTTTACAACTTAAACTAGATAAAAAGATATAAAAAGAGGGAGTTGCAGGAGAGGGAGAAATAGGAGAGAGGAGAAAAGAAAGAAATAGATGATTGAAGGAAAGAGAAAGATGAGTGAGAGAATGAACCGAGAGCGGATTGGAGGAGAGACGAAAAATATTTAAAAAAAAAAAGGTGAGAGAAAGAAGAAAAGAGAGAGATAGATTTGGTGAGAAAGGAGAAGATGGAGAGAAAAAAAAAAAGTGAGTTTAAGTTTAAAAACTCTAAAAACTCACTTTTTATGTTTTTAGAGAATGACTATATTTTGAGTTAGTCTTGAGTTCAATTTTTTAAAATAGTCATACCAAACAAGTTTTTAAGGCTTAAAACTTGAAAATTGTTTTTGAGTTTAAAAAATTGAATTCAAGTAGAGTAACAAATAGGTCTTAAGTTATTCAAATTGACAAATCCAAACCAAATCCAATTGCAGAAATATAATTTCAGAAATCCCAATTTTCACAAACCCTAAAAATCAACCACAGGAAAAAAAAAATTATTCGAGTCCTAGAAATTGTCGGCGGTGGCGCCCTAACGACGCCTCTCCATGAACGAGGCGTCTCGTCATGCGAATTCTAGGCGAGGATTTGCTATGGTGAAACCGAGACCGAGAGACTTAGTCCAATTTGGACTTTCAAGAAAGGGAATCAAAGTTTGTGACTGGTGTGGGTGGTAGATTTGCGATTCACGCAAGGATTTGGATGGTGTGGCACTCTCACAGTGGGAGGACTGAGGAGGAGACTAGTCGAGAGAGAGATTTGGGTTTGGGTGGAGAAAGAGCGAAGCAAAGTGGAGAGAAAGAGACAGTGAAGACAAGTGACTGGAGAGAGTTTTAACTATAAATGAATTATTGACATTAAATCTCAACCAAATCCAACCGCCTATAATAATTAGAGTTGTATATTTACTAATATAATTTGATTAAAAATATTATATATATATATATATATATATATAATTTTTGGTTCAGAACAGGATTACCGAAAGAAGGCTTATTGGATCCCAAATCCCATACCGAATTTTCTGGGATCGGTTTGGGATCGGTATCGAACGGTTCGGGATTTTCAGTTCAAGAAGTTTTCGGTTTAGTTTTAGAATTTTTTCGGTTCAGTTCGAGAATTTCAGGATTTTTTTTTGCACCCCTACTTAAGTGTAGGAAGTAGTTTCTTCTAGGATGCTTCCATATCCAGAATTATCTCATGTGGTAGAATGATTGAGATAGCGATCAAGTGGTGGATTTATTTGTACATGATCTTCCTCTTTCAAAAAGTAAATTCTACAAACCGTTTGATCTGTCTCGCTGTCTATCCATTAAACATTCTTTGTTATTTCTATTTGTATTTGTCCTCATTAGTCAATTTTATCAATACAACGATGTGTAAACGTCATGTAAATTTACTAAATTTAGATTTTAACGTTGATTAAATATATCAGTTGCTAAATCATGCATGTAGTATTAAAATGTTGTAAAATTAGTAGTTGCACGCATTGGTCTTTTAAAATAAAACTTTGAATAGTCTCTGGCTTTACACGATGAAACAAGAAATTTGAGCAAGAATGTAGGTTCCTCTTTTGTCTTTAATCTTTTACATCTGATAAATTCATAGTGTTGGTTCTATGTTCTTGCTCAGCTCCTCTAGCTTCTGCATCCTCAGCTTCTCACTCTCGGTCAACAGCTGCTAATTAGCAGATTACAACAAATTGTAAGAACAAGTTCCAATTAGTGCAGAAGGCCATGCATATAATACTAGTTAAATTTGGGGACTGGACAATAATTAACTAATAATAATTTAATTATTATGTTTAATTACCTCCATAAGTGTGCTTACAAGTTGAGCCTTTTCTTTGTTCTTTTCATTGAAGCTTTCCAGGGCTTCTTTGTATTCTTTTTCCTGTTTGTTGACAAATAAAATAATGTTTATTTTTCACATACTTTTCAAGCATATATATATATAATATAGTAGATTCATGCCCTAATGTTTATATTGGTGTCAAATGCTAGATTGCACCTTCTTCTGGCAGCTCAATCCCAGCGGCTTCAGCTCTCGATTAGCCATGTCGATTTTCTTCCTTACATTTGCAAGTTCCTTCCTCATGGGATCTCCCAGCACTTCCAGCTCCTACTAGATTGTAAAGATTGTGCAATATATATCATAACTTCATCAGCAAGTGATCGATTTATGTAAGACTTGCATCTCAGGTAATTAAGAACATTCCCATTACACCTGAGGTCCCAATGTCGCATGCATAAAAAGGTAAAAATAAGAGTAGAGTTTGTAGAACTTACTTCCCAAATCTGCGCCAGACGCCTAGTTTCTTCCTCAGCGCGACCCAACTGAGCTTCAACTTTCTCCTTAACCTCCATCTTCTTCCTCTCAATCTCTTCCTCTCTAGCTTGGTACGCCGATATTGCCAGCCTCGAAATCTCCTCATCGTCGTTCTCCTCCGTCGACAGCCTCCCACTACTACCGGCAAAGGAATTACTCCCAAGGCTCTTCATTTTCTGCATTTGAATTGTTTGTCACTCACAGCAAAGTTTCAAATCCAATCGGCCTTTTTATCTCTCTCTGCTTCCACCAATGAAAACCCCCCACCTCGTATATATAAATTCTACTCTACAAGTATTGCAATTGCTTTTGCTTCAAACTTGTCTCTCCCCTTCCTTTTCTGGTAGGCCTTCTCTTCTCTTGCTTGCTTTTCACGACATGATTCTCCATCAAATCAAAGACAGGACGAATTCTAAGTGCGCTTACCTAAACATGTTTGCATGCCTAACTTAACAATCATACCGTTTAACTGTTTTGACTTACTTTTCTTGGTCATTTGATCCAAGTCTCTTGGCTCCCATCATTATCTAAATCCAATCTCTAGAATAGATAACCGTATAAGCACTTTCCTGTAAAGAAAAGGCAAGTGATTTTCGTAATCCTATTTCTTTCTCATGCACTCTAATCTTTTTTCTTTTTTTTTCTTTAGACTAAATAAATCAAATGAGAATTAAGACACATAAACAAGGTGAAGAGTGCAGCAAAAGAAAATGAACTGTGAAAATCATTACTATTATTACCTTAAAACATGTTCGCATCATGTGGAACTATACAGCGATAAAGCAATCCACTTAAAATAACACGTGTAAAAAACCGTCATCATTCAAACGTATGCACGTGTCACATTTTTACTAAGCCATTGTCACTTCAATGTGTAATGACAATGTGAGATGCTCTGTTATGTAAATGTTTGGTTCTTTTATGTTTTCTCATTATGCTATATGTTTTTGTATTATTTTGTGTTCATGTGTCAAAATTTTATTGGTAATTATTAATGATGAAATGACTAATTTGCCCTTGAATTTGACGGAATTGATTCTGCAATCTAATGGCAAGGGGTAAATTCACTGATTTTAAATAATTCAAAAGGTTAATTTACCAAAAAACTAGTTTAGAGGGTCAATTTCAACTAGGGTGATAGTTCAGGAGGGTGAATCGCAATTTACCCCTTTATACAAAGGTAGTTGAAATGTCAAATTTCAGAAGAAACTACGGCAACAATAAGCAAAAGAGTGTATGAAGCAATACCGTATGACACAACAACAAAGGCACACATTTGGCTATCAATCATAACAGTTCAAAACAACACAGAATTTCCAGAGGAACCAAACAAACACCCAGCAGACGCAGGGTCAGCCTGCTTTGGTAGCAAGATGAAAATGAGATCGCATCATTTCCGTTGAACATGTGAGATCGAAAACATATCCAAAGCAAGCTATCTTTTATATTCCTCCAAGGAAAATTGTTTCTCACAGCACATGAACTGTCAATTACAAGCCGTATATCATTAAGAGAAAATAAAAGGTAAAGGAAAGAACCGAGGGCAGGGCAGGGCAAACTGTAATTCATAATAATATCTGCTGAAAGCCAAATCAACGAATTGGAACCATGTCTGCGGAATGAGGAAGAAAAATCACAAGCAACACACACAAATTCTCATTCAAACAAAGTTCACAGGATGCTACACTATAGTATAAACATTCTCTGCCGGGATGTGAAGATGGGAGCATTATGGTACAAACGCAATATCTTTGAAGTACTCGTGCTCAAGAGCGCTCCTGGCCGTAATCCTTTTGCTCGGATCCAAGCACAGCATTTTCTGGAACATTAAAAAGAAAATACTTAAACAATAGAAAACCGCAGTGCAATATATTCTTTTATATCGTGTTTAGCATTCATTTTCTTCCTCTATGAAGCTCTTTCTAAATTTTCTAGATGTCATGTGGACTGGATTCTTTAAACCTTAGAAATTGACAAATCCTTCCAACTCGTCAATCTGTAATGTTGCAGGATTCGGCTCATTAAAAGAAAATACCAAATTATCATAGAACAACAATGGACAACAAAAACCATAGGACTTTGCTTCCAGGCTTATTAAAGGTATTTCTCTTTTGAAAATACGGAACATACTCTCGTACTCCCCCCATATACCATTAGAAACACCTTTGTGGGATCAACTAGGACTTAACAGTAACACCCACAATTTAATCATAGTGTAGGTGAACATATGAACAGTTTTTCCCCATTGAGGTGCAGAAATGGAATCTGAACTTACAGATAGAAGATCAACACCAGCTGAATCAAGATTTGGAACTACACTTGCCAAATCCTACAAAGTAAAGGATGCTTTACTTAATATTGTCAAAAACACAAAGGTTGACGATTTTTACAATCGGAGTAGATAGCAACTTTATAATCGGAGTAGATAGCAACACACATAAAATATATTACCTTAGCAACCCACTTGGGAAAGGAAGATCTAAAATCAGGCAAAGAATTCACTCCAGGCCATGTATCCTCAGTCGGAGTACCCGTGATTCTTCATATGAAAAGCAACAGTGTGAGTAGGATAGGACACATTGAGGATGATGAAATACATTACATGGTTTACAGACATCTAGATGCATATAACTTCCAGGAAAAGTACAACAAAAAAAAAAAGGAAACAAAAGCATAGATTTGGTTGGGAATCTTTCACCTAAATATCTTGAACAATTCATCAATCTCAGAGTCCCCAGGAAATAAAGGCCGTTGGTTTACCATCTCAGCAAATATACAACCCACTGACCACACATCAACTGGAGTGGAGTAATGGCGAGAACCAAGCAATATCTCTGGCGCTCTGTACCAGAGGGTCACCACCTATGCCAAACCACCATAATTAAATCATTTTCTTTAACATTAAAACACACACTCACACAAACCAATAGCTCTCAGATGTTAACATATCAAACAACCCAAATGTTTTAATTTCAGTACATGTGACTGCAGCATGTTGATATTGCTAACTGCCACATCTTTTTTTTTCACATTCAAATGCTATTGATTAAAATGTGAAAGAAAAGAAAAATATCCAAATTTTACTGCAAACAGCTAAATGTCATGATCTACTAGAGACGCATTCAGACCTCATGAGTAAATGTCCTAACAGGAATACCAAATGCTCTAGCCAGTCCAAAATCTGCAAGCTTTAGTGCATTGGTACGACGATCTATCAGCAGATTCTGGGGTTTCAGATCTCTATGAAGAACTCTATGTGAATGACAATAAGCAATGCCTCTGAGAATCTGGTAAAGAAACATCTGCAGAAAGAGGACACGACCAATTACATTCCATTGTAAGCTTATTATTTCAATAGTTTATTGTCTAAATCGGGATGGATTACATAACAAAAGAAAACTCCAAGACTCAGTAGAAACTAGAATCAAGGAGCACAAGCATACACTACTTGGGCCTTAAAAGTACTTGAAATCTGCTTTGCAATCTAAGAGAAGAATTGCACAGGTAAATAAATTAAAAATGTAGCAGGAACTAAATACAAAGCTTCCAGATGCTAGCCTTATATATTTATTTCGCAAAGCTAAATTTCTTAAAAACAATTAAAAAACTGCACCTGATATGAAATACTATAATTTTCTGACCACATAACTACTCAATGGACACCAATTATATCATGAGGTTTCTAGAAGTAAAAATCTCTATATCACAGAATCACACAGTTTAAAGTGCAGAAAGTAGTCACTCACTTTTATTTGGCGAGGGTCCTTTGCAAATTCAGGAGTAGAATCCATATGCTTCTTCAGATCCAAGTCCAGGTACTCAAAAACCAGATACAAGCGCTTCTCACTGTGCACTACATCCTGCAACCTGTCAAGCAATATCCATATGTATTTGTAAAATCTAATTAATTTTGCAACGCAAACCAAGCTTTAAGGAAAGATAATAGATGCCTACAAAACCAAATTTCAAATTTTTTTTCTCAGTAGTATAGTTTGTTTTTAATTCAACAGAATGATTGTGTTTTAAACATCTCTACGAGGACCTATGTCACACTATTTTATTTTTTGGGGGCTCATGCTGGGAAATCATGCGTTCATTAGACATTGAAAAAAAATGCTAATTCCTTGGTCACGCTCAGACAATCCAGGAAAAACAACATGCTCAGAGTGAAGTAAAAGAACAGTGATTGTCAAGCTCAGTCATGCTATATTCTCCGGTTTTGAGAAAGTTTAGGATAAAGTTCAGTTTTTGTCTGCATTGTGGGCATCATTATGCCAATAATCTAGAGGAATTTCAGTCTCCTTAATTCGCTAGATTGGAAGGCAGCTATTTTATGGTTCATCTTTTTCTTTTGTCATCTCTGTGGAGCTGTTAGTATTTTCCTGAGCTGTTGTTGTGTTTTTTTCTGCTCGGCTTGGTCTTCTTGACAAACTTCTGTGTATTTTTTCTTCTTTTTTTCAATATAATCGTATCCTTTTCACTCAAAAAAAAAAAAGGTTGATCAATTAAGTTTTCATTAAGAAGGGAATGCAAATAGGAAGAAGCACATGATACAACCAAAAGATAATTGCAGTCCAAAAATAAAATATTAAGTTGAGATCAAAGTCTTAGATTGATATGTCTACTTGTTTTCTCCTCAACAACAGGTAATACCTTCAGCAGTTCTATTAGTCAGAAAAGATGAATGCCCAAACATGTAAATTCAATCTGTAAATTGGGAAAATTCATCAATCTCTTGATCAGTGAGCGAAATTTTTCTCATCTTCCTGTTCTAACACTCCAATAATTATATCATAAACTACTAAAATTGATGAAATTAGCCCCCATACACAATGAAATGTATACCTGACAATGTTCCCATGCTGCATTTCTTTCAAGAGGGAAATTTCGCGTATAGCAGTGCTTGGCACTCCCTCATCTTCCTGCTCCAAGCGAATTTTCTTTAAAGCTATAGTCTCATTAGTGACACGATCACGAGCCTTGTACACAACTCCATAAGTTCCTTCACCAATCTTCTCAACTTTCTCGTACTGCAAAACCGCAAACATCACAATCATAGTAAATTCTGTTGATACAAAAATAAACAATAATCAAAGATCAGAAGCCAGAAAAATGGCACAACCATCACTAACCTGGTCCATACAGTCTCTCTGCTCAAATCCAAGCCTTCAAATCCTAAAGCAAACAGCAAAAGTACCCGTATCAATCGTAATTTTCAATTAAACAAAATCAAACAATCCCAGTTCACTAAAACTTGCTAAAACCTCAC